CTTTCTTGGTATAACCCCGGTCGTTCCCGGCAGAGTTAAGGATGAAGCCGGCAAAGCTATACATTCCCGGATCATCCCGGACCACCCCGGTGATATTAAATATTTTATTCCATCTGGGGTCGAATGCCGGATGTTCCCGGATTATCCCGGATCATCCAGGACGTTGCCGGCAGAGTTACGGATGTACCCCTGTTGTTCCCGGTCGTACCCCGGTCGTTCCCGGATCACCCCGGACGTCTACCGGGATGTAAGTGAGACTGTAGCTTAAGTTACATAAGTTGCATTGTAAAATAACTATTTAATAGAGAAATAGAAATATCAACTTTGACAAGTAAATTAATTGAACTGTTTCAGAATGTTCATTGTATATAATTTTTCCTCTTATTATATAAATCAAATAGATTTGTAAATTATGTTAACTTGACTTAGCACACATTTTACAACTTTTGTTCCAACATATCATTCATTTGCAAGTGCAAAACTCATCCAAGTTGACTTAGCCTAGTTTTGCACTCACTTGTTTTAAGAAAAGTCTTTGATTTTCAGCGCAAAACCCATGCTAACTCAAATAATTGCTTTTAAACCATTAAAAATTAATTCCACTTGAAAATGACTTATCATGTAAGTTTCAAGGCCTTTAGCATGATACAGAAATAATAGAATATTTAAAAGATATCAGCAGGGTAAAAAATAAGACAGTTTTTTCACCCTCCTGTAAAATTTCAAAAAATGATGTTAGCTGAGTTTTGCGCTGAGCCATCGAAAAGAATATTAGAGATTAAAAAATAGTTTCTTCTGTTAAAGATTTACACTCAATAATTGTCTCTTCTTCAAAATATTTAGTATTATTTAATCTATCAACTTATATAGCATGAATAAACATTGTGTAACTATGTAAAGTTTATCTTAAACAAAAACTGTTTATATAGATTAATTTATTTTTAAACATTTATCATCAAGCTAAAAGGAAACCACTTTAAATAGTCTGATAGGTGTAGGTAAAATAATCAGAACTATGAAGTGAACAATGAAAGAAATTTATGCATTGAAAATAGCACTAACAATCCATGTTAATTAATTATAAACAAGAATTTGTAACAGACTTACTACATGTAACATCCCCCACATATGAGAAGTTTACATGAAGCACAAAATTGTGCTATTTCAAAAGATTGAGGTATGGATCTGGACTTTCAGTGCAAAAGTTTGATCTATGCTGAATTTGCACATGCCAATAACAATAAATTCATTTAAGAATTATAGAATAAAATAACTCCTGTGTATGTGTCAACACAAATACATTTGTAAACTTGTTATCATTATTTCAAAGCCACAAAATGTGACAAATACAAAATTAATATAGGATATGGTCTGTTACAGGATATATTTCATGTCCAGTCATCAATCAAGGTATGTGGGTAGTTCAAAATATGTGTTTGATAGCAGAAATTGAGAAAAACATTTATCATGTTTATCCTAAGTTAGAAATGAATTCTAAGTCCACTCCACTTATTTAAATATATGTGGATCTAATAAAAAGTCGGCGGCTTCTTTTAAGTTTACGTAATAGCAGTCGCACATATACAGCTTAAAATTCATTTAAATTGGATCAATTCAACAATTGTTAAAATGCGACAAAATAATTTGTCTGTTTTAGCGATCGATATTATTTGATTGTTTTGTGTACATTTCTTACCTTATTAATATCAAAGATATTTTCAAAAGTCAATTTAGATTAACAATTAATAGCTGTAAACTGACAATTTTTATTGGTGTTAATTGATGCACTGGGTTCCCATATTGACCAAAATAGGTTAACACAATCAAGTACCCTATAGCGATCAAGTAGACCACATGTGGTGTATATGCCCCCGACATTTGTGACAGCAAATTGAAGACATATAATCGACTTTTATGTCAAGTTTCTTACATGATGCAAACCTAAACAACATGTATTTATGGATTTAATCAGTCACAAACCTAATTATTTGTATACATTCATAACACAATTATGGGCCAGTAAACCGCCAACTCATATTTATAAACAATAGAGATATGGAAAGGAGTATTTGTTGGAATAAAATTTTGTCGGATCTTAAATTTGTTGATTAACCTACCAATGAAAGCCACACTTTTTTTTCTGAGGCACCAACTGGGTAACCCCATTTATTTACCCAATTAAAGGTATGAGAGGGTTGCCCCCTGATACAGAATTTATTTGTGCCCCACAAATAATAATGATTTTACAGTATAGTGTAATGGGAATGGACTTAAAATTCACTTAGGTAATGATAAATGTTTTATGTTTGTACTATCAATCACATATTTTGTGAACATTCCATGAGCTGTACCATGTGTTAGCCTACACTCTAATTTCTCATGTTCTAAGTAAGATTACTAAATGTTGTATTGCTCAATCTTAAATATTTAAACTATCTTCACTTTGTAACTCATTTTTTTCAGCAAACAAGAAATGTAGAAAATTATGGTCATTTCAGACATATGCATACTGTACATTTTAATGAACTATTGTGGCTTTTTGCAAAAATGAGTAAAATGCTGAACATTCCATATTTGAATCTACGTTAAAAATATTTTGCACAAAATTTTTCGTGTTTAGGTATATGACTAACATAATGTCAATCTCATTTTTTACTAATTTTAACACTACTGTAGTCAATTGGAAATAAGTAAGATTTCTTTCGGTACATGCTATAGGTTTATGAGCACTTTCGATACTGGTTGGGGAGATAACTTCGGCTGGTTGATAAACTCGGCTTTTTATAATTAAATCGAATTACAATGTATCAGAATTTTTAATCTAATCAAGCTCACCATCTCATACTATTGCTGGAATTCGACAATATCTGGAAATTTTGTCAAGTTTGGTAAGGTATTTAAAAAATAACACACACTTTTACCTGTTTGTTTACAAAACATGCCTTTAAAAAGTACGGGAATCCCATTGTTGTGCGCATGTGCAGCAGGTGCTCATTTTGAGGCTCGCACAGGGGTACTTTTATATTTCGACCGACTACATCCGTATACATTTTGTGGATGAAATTCTTGCTAACTCAGAAAAAAGGCTGATTACACAATTGTAATCTTTAAGTGAAATGGATTGAAAGACTGATGGTAAATGCTCCTTTTATATGTTAATGTGTAAGTTGAATACCACTAAATTAATTTCTTCTTCACTCTGTTAAGCTAAGCAAAAATAAATCTGAATCACTAATTCTTTTACCACATATTTCGTTATATGTTAATAAATAATAATGCATGTGTTTTTACACGTAAAAATGATTAACATGTTACAAGTCCGTTGCATATAAATATCGTGTTATCATACGAACGTAATGCTCAACAATTTTGGTAACAAATATTTTTATTTGACATAAATGGACAGCAAAGAAATAATAAAATGTCTAAACATGTTATTTTACGTTTTAACTTACTCATTTAAGAAGCAAAACAAAGAGCCGGAATTATCTACTCGCGCGCGTTAAAAATATCCCTTTACGTACCTCTTCCAGGGCCTCTCAAAATTACCCGTTATGTTTCTAAATATAACTTTTATGGTGATACCGGAAAATCGAAGAGCTGAAGTTTATTATGGTGCAAGATTCATCAGAATACGTAAACAAATAAATGAAATATGCCCCCAAAACACTGATTTTCGGCCGAGTTTATCTCACAGGTGCTAGTGGCATTGATTTGACCTAATTAAAATGTGTTTGACCTTGTTATTTATACAATAAAATATCAATATATTAAAAAAAAAAATTTAAAAAAAAAATTTTTTTTTCTGTTATATTATTATTGACAAGGTATGCAACATTCAGGTACGAAAATTATGGGTACGCCGGTTATCTGTGTTAAAATTTTTCACCGGGCGGTAATATCGTCGGATTTTTGCATGGAATCAATGCACAATATATTTTTCTATTACAATTTACTATTTACAGATCCCCAATTAACCGCTAGTTAATGTTTTAAAGCCCGAAAGTAAGAAATCACCCAGGTCCGAAAGATGAGACCGTCATGACATGTACATTGTAAGCTGGTATTTACGCTTGAAATACATCAACAAAGAGATCAAACGGGTCGAACTCACATGCAAACAACTGAATTTTACATACTTTTAAATGGTTTTATCCTCCACGAATCGAACTTAGTCCTATGAGCCTGTATTTAAAGAAATATCCTACATGTAGACGATATTTTTAGAAGGTAATTCCCACCGGAAGTATTCTCCGGCTTCCCTTTCACATACATTGACAAAGAGCGGAACAGGGAACCAAGCACGTGTTGCGGAGAACACTTCCGATTTAGGAATTACCTTATACATGTAGTATTTTTCTTAAAATACGGGCACATAGGACTTAGTGCCACTCGTGGAGGATAAAACCAATCAAAAGTATGTAAAATCCAGTTGTTTGCATGTGAGTTCGACCCGTTTGATCTCTTTGTTGATGTATTTCAAGCGTAAATACCAGCTTACAATATACATGTCATGACGGTCTCATCTTTCGGACCTGGGTGATTTCTTACTTTCGGGCTTTAAAACATTAACTAGCGGTTAATTGGGGATCTGCAAATAGTAAATTGTAATAGAAAAATATATTGTGAATTGATTCCATGCAAAAATCCGACGATATTACCGCCCGGTGAAAAATTTTACACAGATAACCGGCGTACCCATAATTTTCGTACCTGAATGTTGCATACCTTGTCAATAATAATATAACAGTGAAAAAAAAAATTTTTAATTTTTTTTTTTTTTTAATATATTGATAATTTTTGTATAAATAACAAAGTCAAACACATTTTAGGATTTTTTTTTTTTTTTTTTAACAAAGGTCAAACACATTTTAATTAGGTCAAATCAATGCCACTAGCACCTGTGGTTTATCTCCCAAACCAGTATGGCTTTGCCGTGCCAAAACGTAAAAAATATCTCGAACTTTCAAAGCAACGTAATATTTTTAGGACTAGCTTACCCCGATAAAATCTTTTTAAATCTAAGTAATTAAATGTTTTTCTTTACTTAATTTATTTAGTAAACACAGCTAAATGATGTCTGTATTCTCTTTTGGAATATTTTGTTTCCGCCAAAACAAAATTCATAAAGTACTGCAAATGGCGTGTTTCTAAAAAGGGAGGTAAGATATTTTCTTCCACTGGCTTAGTTATATTCCAGTATCCGTTACAGAAATTGTACGTGACTCTACCGGACATAAAAAACTATTAATAACTTCATGTTTTACAGAATTTTTCAGTAAGAATCGAACAATAAAATAAATTAAACTTACTGATGACATTTTGATAAAATAATTTTATTTTTGTAACGTTGTTAGGCACACAAACCCTGTCTGTGGGAAGATAGCTCACCACCGAGAGTGGTTTATGCCCTTATATATCACAGGAGCTTGAAATTCTATCACATGTCTAAATATAGAACGCCAAACAGTGACTCTATTGCATAATAACACACACTTTCGGTTCTTCTATGTTCAATAGGGAAAAATGCGTGTCGTGTTAGAATATATGGTTACAGAAATTGTCAAAACTTGTCTTATGAACGAGTATGTGTTTATTATATTCAAGCCAGTTGATGAAACTCTGTTTATACAAGTAAATACAAGAAAAGCATTGATGCAAAGCATCAAAGGGCGTCCAAGCAAGAAATGCAGCAGGTGCAGATGAACTAGTAGATATATGATGACAAGATATTCTTATAAACTTTTCAATGGTTCATTGGTTTTTACCAGAATTGTATATCACTTATGAATGAACGGACGAAAGACATTGTTCATTACTTATAACTTTGATTGGCATGCTAGAAATTAGAATATTACTTGTTATTTCTTTCTGATCGTGGTTATTAATAGCAACGGATATACATGTATACAATCATTTATAATCCATATGTGTAACGCATGATCAACACCACACTTGTGTAATTGTCCCTTATTATGTTATCGCTATTAGCGAAGACCCCCTCTTAAGGTATCTGTTCACACTTAGTAACAATATGACACTTGCTATATTACCATGTTGATCATGTTGAGCATAATTGTTTATTATACAATAATTGTAATATTTATTTTAATAAAAAAATACAGCTTTAATGAATATTGTTTTCTTTTCTTTTTTTGTGTTTTATGCGCTATTTTAATACTGAGTTTTTACGTTTACTACTATTTTAAGAATTCAATTGTCATATTGACCGACGATTATATTTAAGTCAAAACTTAACTGGAAAAAGTCAGTAAACTATGGTTATATAATCTTTCAATATATAATATTGTTTATTCTTAAACCATATACATGTACATTTGTATTTTTCTTTATCATTTTTTAAATTATCAATCAATTGAATAATTCATAAAATCTGATTTGTAACTTTGAATAATTCCTCGGCATCTTTACTAAACACGAATAACAAATTAATTAAAATGTTTCAAAGTTGATAGTGTCATATTAATGCCATAAAAATGATTTTTTCTCAATTATTGTACATATTTATTGTTTTGATCTCATATAGATAAAATAAAACATGCGATTTGTGTTTTTTTTTTTTTTTTTTTCGAATTGTATGTTTATGTATAACAATAATCAATAAATTTAAGAGTTGATCTGTGTTTATTAATTATTGTAACCAAACTAAGTGACAAACATTCATTTTGAAAAAAGCTTATTTATCTGTAAAGTATTTGTTCTGTTCTGTAACGATATCAAACATCTACTCCAAAACCGGGAGAGACCGGACAATAAACGTGTGGTACTATTCGCCGGTCACTAGTAAATCCCGGTCAAAATAGACCAGGAGAGACCGCGAATTGCCGATAGGAGTACATCCCTCTATAAATAGATTTTCGGAATATTTAGGTCATCAACTCATCATTCTATTTACAGCTTTCGGAATAACATACCAGTGTGCTACAAAATGATAAATAAAAATACCCCGAAGAGCGCGATTTATTGAAGCAAAAGGTGATTTCATTTGAAAATGTTTGCATTGCGAAATTCTCCAGTTCGCTATTCATTGTACATGTCGCGACTAATTAATAATCAAGCACCCTCATACCGATCGGAATGATCGGTTTTTATTATGAACAACTATAAAAGGCTCGAGAAGTTGCTGTCGCCCTTTCACAAAATCTGATTTCATTCCATAAAAGGCGCCGCGCTTCGGCGCGGACGCCAATGATACACTGTGCTTATATAATTGTGAATGCCATAACTTATGTTATAACCCATCATTGACTCAAGTTCCTAAGCATTTGAAGAGTGTTAAGTAAGTAATAGCCTAAACCGACCCAATTTCATTATAATTATGATTTTTGCAGGGCTCAACGCATTTAAATAAATTAATAATATGGAAAGAAATTAATATACATGTAAGTGTTATGCTTTTTTCCAATCCATATATATTGTGATGTAAAAATGTTACATGCTTGTAAAATTGATAAATAAATATGTTTAAACTAGATAATAAAGCTTATTTTAGAATTAAAATAATCCCATAATTTATTTTAGAGAAATAATCGTCTGCTACCTTATTTAAAGCTATCGATACGTGGCAATCGGCAAACCTCGGTCATTATCTGTAGATTGTTTACATTACTCTGGTTACCGTGTTTATCTTATCATTACTATATAGGGCCGGGTTTAAAGAAGTAGCTGTTAATAATATAAAAGCCCGAGTTTCTCGTGCAACTTTCTTAGTTATTGTTTGACGACGAAGCTATAACACATCAAATTAGAGTAAGCTGAACAAATTATTTGCCATGCCACGAGGTCGTACGCGCCGAAGGATTTAACCTTCGAGAAGAGAAATAGCTATGCGACGCAGCGAGACAGGACAGGCGGCTTCAGTACCTGACATTCCTCTAGGGGAGCTTCGTTTGCTGAGAAATGCACAAGGGACCGTCGAAAGTCAAGAAAATTCAGCTCCACGTCGTACAGGTAGAGCGGTAAATGTTTGTGGTAGGGCCCAGCCCCAACAGAGTCAAGAGCACGTGCAGGATAATCCGCGCGTCGATGCCAAACAATCTAGGGGTCAGAAGCGCCAAGCCGACGAATTGGACGACATGGTGGATGTCAGGCTTCTAGAGACTGAAGCGGATGTTTGGGTCCTGGGTGACTCGATCCCGTTCTGGGCTGGACAGCGGACAAAGAACACAGGAAAGCCTAACTTGAGATTGAAAGATTTAACAATAGCCTGGTAGGGTGTTCGAGGCCTACGTTGGCAGTCCTTCCGTCACTCTATTGAATCACAGGTGTTGTTTTTTTCACCTCCATCCATTATTATTGTTCATTTAGGAGGTAATGATTTGGCAGATTTACCAATTTTAAATTTGAAAGATGCTATTCGGGATGAAATTTTTTACGTGTGTGAAGCTTTCCCTACAACGGTACTAATTTGGGTAGATATATTACAGAGGCAGACCTGGCATAATGCCACGGAAGGTTGGATTGCTACGGAGAATAAACGCAAACGAGTTAACAGGATAGGCCGTCAATTAGTTTATTCATCGGGTAAAAGTGACACAATTAAGCCAGACTTTGATGCTAAAACTGCATTTTTTTTCGGGCAGACGAGGTTCATCTCAATGATATTGGTTTTAAATTCCTCCTAGATTACTTCAAAGATTCTATCATTAAAAATGTACCAGTCTCTCGATAAGAATTTGGGGGATAAATTTTTGATAAATTTATTGTGGCGAAAAATTCTCCCGATCGAGTGGAGATCAGACATTGTATTCAGTTTTGTTTGGTATTTTAACTTAAAACCCTGTTTATTGTACTTGCTTCGACAGTACATATACTAAAATTGGAACGATACAGAGAAGATTAGCATGGCCCCTGCGCAAGGATGACACGCAAATTCGTGAAGCGTTCCATATTTTTGCTGAACACTGTGTTTTTCGTTTGCGTTGCGCTGCGTTTGTATGATACTGTTTGCGGTTTTTTATGTATTGGGACTTTAGCAAAAAGTAAATGTGTAATATAAAGCACGTCTGATCTCCTTTCGGTCGAATTTTTTTAGACACGGGATACCCTGGCAAATTTGAGCGGCCAAAACAATCCAACCTTGAATTGTATTTAGTACGATATTGCTTTATTGTTTGCAATAACATTATTGAAGCGTTCATGTATGAGTCATATACATATAACAAAATTAAATATGAAAATGTTACTCATAGTCGTTTTATTTTATTTCAATTATTAGAATAAATGAATACTAGTATCATAAAGTTGAATATTTGACATGAGCAAACCATTAATTACGTATACGAGTTCGCTAGTTCTTGCTCGTATGAATATCATATATAATTTACTACAGTGAAAATTTATATACAATTTTATAATCGCAAGCATATTATTCGTATAAGGTGGCTAGCTAGCTGGACGTTGACAAATAATGAAAGTTTCATATTTTATGACCCTGTATTAGAACTAGGTCTGGTTTCGATCATTTTTTCCTTTCCGAATTGTTAACTTTACAGAGAGATGTTCAGCAAGAAAATGTTCTACGTTTTAGTATAATCGTTACATGCACATTAAGTCTCAGAGATATATTTTTTTCCTTCGAAAGACCAATGTGTGCTTTATAATGTTGAAATTACAGATAAAGAGCATGCTAAGGCTTCAACAGACGTTAGGACTTAATTGTTCAACACTTATTAAAGATATGATGTAATCTAGCATTATAACACTTACATGCAGACCGTACGTAATTCTATATTGCATGAATCATCAGGTTTCCCTCCAAAACAATTTCCCCCGAATGGACCTCTTACAGATTTTTTTCACTATTGTTACTGGAATATGTGTAAATGTTATTATTTGTTGGTATTGACCAATATAAAGAAGATTGATTCAGACGTAGACCGTGAATGGCATGAGGGAGCTTTTAGAAAATTACCAAATTCTGGAATTAATAAAATAACTTTGGTCTCACGGTGAAAAAAATTTTTTTTCGTCATGAGTAATGATGGCAACTCCTCCATTTTTAAACACAAGTAAGTCTATAATCATTTTCTGAGTAATTTTCGATTCGAACATGTCACAACTTAGGGGCATCAAATAGTTTTTTTTTCAACATCATTTTTACTTCATCTTACTACTATGTTTACATTTAAGCCCTAATTGTA